GAAAAGGCAAATGAAGAGATCTCAGCAGCTCCATATCTCCACTTGATTCCAGTGCTGCTTCCTGTAGAAAACACAGCTGTACTGAAGGCTTGATGGTATATTTGGAAGCTTTAGAAAGATAAAGGAAATATTTCACTGTTTCATCATAATATAAAATGCTTCTTTATTCAYTGTGCCAAGGCTGGTATGTGGAACTGTTAGACACCACCCAAATTGCTGTAAATGTTTGTATTTAACCTTGAAGTGACAAACAGATATGGATAAAGTGGAAGACACTTACTTGAGCATAAGCCATCAGCCACTGTCAGCTGGAATATTTTCCACTTTGATCTGCATTTTGATTTGTGTCTGTGTTATTGTCTTCCAGTAAGGCASTTGAAAGCTTGGCCCAGGGTGGTGATGCTGAAGTGCAGTGTGGCAAAGAGGCACAGAAGAAGATGCAGGAGATGGAGGAAATGCTGACTGGCMGAGTAAACCTTCTGGAAGAGGTGASTGACCATGGCTGAAAGAATAATAAGGAATCCCTGCTGTCTTTGTACTGTTAYCTGAGATTTGATGCTGTGCTCTRCCTATATTTTCATAATGTCTTTTTYCATTCCTTGCTGCCTGTGCTTGAGACAGTTTATTCCTGTATTGTTGAGCCATTTCTGGTTACTTTACAGGGGAATTGTAGTGTAAAAGGAGGGGCCCCATTTAAAGCAGAGAGCTCCTTCAGGGAGGAGGAAGGGGGAATCTCCATGACCTTTAATTAATTTTAGTGGAATTGGGATTTCTGAAAGCATTCTTTGTGCTGTTGGATTGGTAGAGAAGTTCTTAAATTGCTTCCTCTGTCCCAAATGAKCCAGTCAGGCTGGTGTTTCCCAGATCTGATAGGTTGAAGGGCAGATTTTCTAATCTGATGGAGATCGAGTATTTTCTGTAGCCCAGGGATAGTGTTGGCCTCTGACATTAATTTTATTCTGCTTATGAATGCAAACACTGCAGTGTGGGTTTAGTCACAGGTTTACACAGCACCAGGTAATTACATCGATCCAGGGAATGCTAACAAAGATTAATTTCCTTCAGAGCTCTTGATTGACAGMTGAATGTTGGCAAAACAGCTTTTCAGGAGAGGGGTTGAGTGGGGARGTTCAGTGGTGAAGGAGCTTTTCCTCTCCCTCCACCAAAGAGATGCTTTTTAGTTTAGMTGTGAAGGCAAGAGGGGAATGACTTGTTAGGCTACAAGGAGGCTTTTATTTCATGAAAAGCTAAATTGGGTGAGCACAGCAGGGAAGCTTACAACAGAAAAATGAAGATCTGAATCAAATTTGATGTAGTATAAGGCAAGTGGGGTTTTTKTGCGTTCTCCATCTCTGTGAGTTGGGTCACCCAGAGGAAGTTGACTGAGATCTCTGCCTGTTATCTCCATTTCCTTTGCTATTCAAGAGAAAAATGTCTGGTTCATACTTTATCAGTTCCTGCACAATATTAYAAACGATGTTGGAAAGAGTTCCAATTAGCTACAGTGAGACTGGGAATATTAATTTTATTGAATAAAAAAGCCCTTCTTTAACCTCTTTCATTTAAGTGTAGCTATTTATTATGATAGTGGGAGGACAGTGGGACAAAACCATATTATAATTGCTAAATCTTAAACCATAGCATAGGGACACTTTTGTTTCCAGTTCTGCTATCAGTTAGGATATTTCTTTTATTTCTTTGAAACAAATTTCCCTTCTTTCTGTACCACAGAAAATGGATTAATCTTGAAAATGCAGACACAGAGTTCAGAAGCATTTGCAAAGCTCTTGAAATACTTGGTAAAAGTTCCTAAATTAAACATCCTGACATATGTTGGGTGGAAGAAACTTCAGTATGTGAAAAAATTCATGAGCACTTAGTTCTTATAGGCATTAGGATTGTGTGTTTTAATTACAGAATCTTAAAGCTGCCCAAGAAGAGGTGGAAAAAGCCCTTGCAATGACAGAGAAGGAGAAAGCTCTGAGGATTGCTGCTGAGCAGAAACTCGCTTCAATTATGAATGTCCCTGCCAAGGATGTGGATAAGGTTACAGAAGCTGAGAAAGACAGGTCAGAACTGTTGCCAGTGATRTTTCTAACTGCTGGAATTCTTTATTGTTACAGTGTGGAGAGTCAGCATGGGTTTGTGTTTGATTAGTTTGGTCCTACCCTTGGATAGAGGAGAGTTACTGKCCAACTATGGGATGAATGGCAACACAGCAACCAGTTTAATGCTTTGTGTAGCCAARTCATGTTTAAAAAAGCCTAAAAGGGTCAGGATGTGTGAGACATAAGCTCATAGATCAAGCAGGTAAATTTAATGGGAAGAGAAACACTGTAAGAAATACYTTTACCATCCAGGCTACAAAATAGGAGGAATCACRCATGGCATCTCATGCTGCAGAGTTTTCATGTGTAACACTCAGGTCTGTCAGAAAACATCATTACTGTTGTTGGAATATTGGAAGTTTTAAGATTTGTATTGGCAAAAGACAACAACACTGACCTGACTTCTTTCTAACACAGTTTTTTGGGTTTTTTTTGTGTATTTGAAATGAGAACCAGCTTAGATACAAATTTAGATGAAACTGAGCCCTTGAGGGACACTTGGTGAAGGCACGTAAGGATGTGGTAGGTGAGCTGAGAAATTAAATAGATTAATAAGGTTTTTGTGTGTGATAAAGGACAATGTAACTAAAATATTGAAACTTAACTGTTGACATTTGAAGTGGGATTGGAGGAAAATGAGATAGCTCAACCCTGTTTAACTTGTGTTCAACTTACAGCACTTCAGGTTCTCCAGGGTTATGAAGGTCCTCCCTAAAGTTTTACAAGTATTGTCTTCAGTCTTCACTTTGGAGAGTTGTCTGCAGGATTTAGCAATGACTGGAGAATTGCTGGTGGATGGTRCAAGATTAATATTTAAAATCTTATCATTTTAGACTTATAGAGCAACTGAATCTGTCGCTGAAAAGTAAAGAAGCTCTGATTCAACACCTTGAAAAGGAAAAGTCTCAGAGTGGATCTTATGATGGAAACTTGCCAGCAGAAAAAATCAGAGAACTTACCATTGCTTTGAGGCATGAAAAGGATTGTGAGATAGAGGTGAGGAAACTGCCTGATCAATTATATGTTATAAATCTCTTGGGGGGGTAGGATTTTAAAGGTTTTGTGCCTGCCACTGTGTAAGTGAGTTCAGCCAATTTTAAAGAATATTATTCCCTCCTTGTTCTYCATTTCCTTACCATTCATGGGTTGTACTCTAGTTTGGGGGGCAATATTCATCCTTATTTATCCATTCATTCAATGAGAGGTTGTGTTTCCCACTCACTTTATGCCCGTGTAATAGATACTGTGTATTGCTTTACAGAAGCATATTTTAATGAAATACTAGATGTTAATAGATCCCTCACTGGATGACATAACTGCTATAAAAGTTAAGAATGTGATTTGAGAGTTTGTTCTTGGGAAGTGTCTCTGCTGTTATGGTCTGGAAAAAAAAGCTGTGGTAAGGGAGGCATAAAAGGCATAAAAAAAAATCTCATAAAATGAAGTGCAAGTTTACGCTTTAGCTTACAAAAGGTGCAAGAGTCAGTCTTCTATTTCACTTGGCTCCTAGCAGGAAGACAGATCCTGGAAACAGGAATGTAGAAGGAACAGCTCCTGAGGCTTGTTGCCTTTTTTTTCCCTCCTATTGGTTATTCAAAGAAGAAATTAAAGCTGGCAGAATTAAGAAAGTTAATTATGGAGGCTGTCAGGCTTTTGAGAATTTTCCTTCCCTTTTGTCTTGGAACTCAATATTGCTCAGCTCAGTACCTACCCACCTTTTTGTCTGTGTCAAGAATAGACAAGAGAACCTTCTCTGACTGGATTGATTTGAGGCATTAAAAGTTCTCAGTTCTGGGTGGTCTTGCAATTAAATCAGTCTGTGCCAGGAAAAAMCACCTTGGGTTCAAAAGAGTATTTGTGTGTCAAGGTGAAAACTGTGTCATCTTTAATCATTTCACAGGAGGTGGACAGAGGGCAGGTGATCATTTGGGGTGCAGTATTGGAGAAAAAAGTCTGATGAATACCTTTGYACAACTCTGGTTTTATGTATCATTACTTTCAAAACCAAATAATTCTGTAACCTCACCAGGAAGAAGTGCTAATTAAAATCTCTCCTGATAAAAGCATCTTGCTGACAAAGATAAATGTCACAGAAAAATGCACCTTTATTAACTCAGCAAGTGCAATTGTTCTGTCTCATGGAAGGACATGTTTTGTGGGATTTTGTTTTATTTTCTCTTTTTTTCTTCTTTATTTGGACTGGCTCATGTTGTGCCCAAGGTTTTAAGCTCCTTTTGCTTCACTTTAATGCTTAATGAATTATATTTGTGTTGAGAATGAATTAAAGTGACCATAAAACCTGTCTTGTTCTTATAGGCTCTTAGAATGGAGTTTAAAAATGAGAGAAATTCCTTCGAAAAAAGAATTCAGGTAAGTTCAGTTTTGTTCCTGTTTCCTTGACCCCTTACAGTGTGTTTTGGGCTCCCTCTGTTATCCTTTCATAGACACAAAAGACTTTGACTCCAAGGGAAGCAGAGAAAATCCTCTGTTAAATTCTCTTTTTTGTGGCCTGACAGCAAGACCCCTCCTGTTTTGGAAGCATTTTTCGGTAAAGCTGATAGACACATTCATCAAATATTGAAGCTGATGCTCATTGCCAGCCCCCTTCTTATGCAATAATCCAGGCACATCTTTAAGATGCTGCCTCTCATTTTGGGGACTGTATTTTATGTTGGTAATCTGAGTAATAAGCTCCAAGAGCTCTGAGGGAATGTACTTACTAATGTGCAGTTACAGTATCTCTTAGTGGGAAGTTAATGCAACTTTCACATAATCTAATTTAGTCACTCCAAGAAGAGCTGCAAGAGAGAGAAAATGAGCTTGCTGTTGAAAAGAAGAATGGTTTGAAAAGGGATAAAACTATCCAAGGACTAACYGTTGCCTTAAAAGCAAAGGAAAAAGAGGTAGGGTGATTGTGATGGGGTACCACTGGGAGGGAAGGGTGTGTGTGTTGTGTGTGTGACAGGGTCTGATCTCACTGTAACCACGAGGAGCCTTCAAGTGGGTCCCTGTCACTGCTGTCATCTCTCTAAGGAGTTATGCTTGTCTGCAGTCTGGGCTCTTGCACTGGAGGAGAGAGGAGAAAGTATCAGTTAAGTATCTTTCTCCCTTAAGAACTTTAAAGAAGAATGTTTTCAGTTGCACGCTGATTTTTATCAGCTCTGAGCACCACTTAGAAGATACGAGGGGTATTTTATGTTGTTGAGTAAGTGGAGCTGTCAAAGGCAGCTAAAATAAGAGAGGTCACCGTCAGCTGAAATTCAGATTGTGTGCAAGAGTGGGAAATACTTCACTTGAGTGATAGGCAGTCTAGTGAGTGTATAAGAGTAAGAATTTCTTTATGTAAGGTTTACTATGATGCATTTGGTGTTTRTGTTCTTGAAAGTGTTTGGTGTAGCTGGACGAGTGGATAATGAGATGGGGTAGCAATTACTGAGTCACCATCCCTTGGAAATAATTCTTCCTACATAGTATTCATTTTACTTTATTTAAAGAATGAGGAGCTGGGTTCTGAAATTGAAGAGTTAAATGCTTCATTGGCTAAGGCAAGAGAGGCAACTCACAAAGCACATGTCCAAAAATTCAAGGTAAGAGCAAGCAATTTGTTATGGTTTCTCCCATTCCTGCACCTCTTTTCTCTGTAATTCCACACAGTGGCAGTGCTTGGCATCTTTGAAAGCAAAAGAATGTAAATTAGTCTAAAATGTTGTTTAAAATGGTTAATTATTTTTACTTTGAAAAAAATTTCCCAAATCCAARTATTTAAACAATGAAGTGTTAAAATGTCAGATAACTTGTTTCTCCTTTCTTTTTTTTAAATTTTAAATTTAAACCAACTGAGAATCACTAAGGGAGAAACATGTAATATCAAAATAAGCTAAAAATAAAGACACAAATAATTGTGGAGCTGAGATGATGATCTTGAGCTTTTTTTTCCTGGGCTGTTCRTTTTTTKTTCCAAAAATATGGTGCCAGCACAGTCTTCCTATGAGCAGAGCTGAACTGGGTATAAGAACACCTGTTTGGTTTTATTTATATTATAAATGTGGAACCACTAGTTCTAAAATAGTTGAATGTTATTTGTGAAAATATGATTTAGTAATGCTTTTTTTTTGTGTGTATCGAAAAAAGGGACTTAATGATTTTTGTGACCTTGAGGATTTTTTTTTTGAGTAGTTTTAAAAAGTGTACAAGTGATTCCTCCTGTTCACAGAATCCACATTGCAGAGCAAGTCCTTCTCAGTACTCTGCTCCTTAGCTACACCCTTGAGTTGGAGGCAGTTTCTCTGTGAGTAGATTGTGCAGAGCCCACTGCTCCTGTCACCTCTGCTCTGAGCTCCAGGGCTGGTTATAGCTGTGAGTGGTGGGGAAGAACACAAATCAGACTTGTTGTTTGTTAGAAAATAGCAATCACCATGMCTGGAAGTGTTCAAAARRGGTGTGGCTGTGGCACTTGRGGACATGGGCTGGTGGKGACACAGTGCTGGTGCTGGGTTGGCAGCAAGACTTGATTTTAMAGGTCTTTYCCAGCCTTAATTCTATAAATGAYTCAGKAACTTCCTGCCCTAGTCCAAACTGAAACTGCCCCAAAAGTAGGGTTTTATRTAATTAAAGCTTTGGGAACCAATAATACTGCCATGCCCTTGTTTGCACTGTGGGCTCCTTTGCACATCAGCCTTTCTCTCATTTTTTGTTACCTCTGAGTTCTTATCCTGCACTGGATGTCATGGAAAGTTGTTACATTAGCAGGGAAAATTTCCAGAGTTACCCTTTCCTTGTTTGTCATCTCACTGGTGTTTTTTCACCAGTTGGGAAGCACTGGGCAGAGGGGCAGGGTTGTGGGTTTGGGTGCAAGAGGAATAAAGCCTTGCAGGGTGTACAAAGCCCTTTGTGGAGCCCTGTGCTGCTCTGTGTTTCAGGGTGCTGCAGATTATCAGGCTCTGCTGATGGAAAAGGAGACCCTGCTGGCAGAGCTGCGCTCCGAGAACCTCACCAAGGACGCTGAGAATCGCAGGCTGCAGAGAATCATCARAGTCACTGGGCAGGAGCTGAGTGATCTCAATTTGGAAAGAGAGAAAATGGAGAAGGAGCTGGATGAAGCACAAYTGCAGAAGAGTAGAAGTGACAAAACCATTAATGTTATTATCACTTTTTTGCTTTCTTTCGTAAAGTCTAGAAATAATTCAGCACTTTAACAGGTCCTTTTGTAACAAAATTATGTTTTTAATTTAAATAACTTTTAGGAAGGTAAGTGCCTAACACTGCCTAATGCTGTGTTCAAAAGATTGAGGAAAATTCTGGCACATATTCTGCACAGAAGAATATTTAAAAATAAATATAATTTTGATAGTTAGGTCCTAGAAAATGAAGCATTAACCTTTAGAAGTAGTAGATGGTTACTGTTGATTCCAGTTTTTCTGATGGGAGGATGTGAGCATGCATGATGATGTATGTTTACGTTCTGCCATATGTCTTGTTGCATGTCTGTAGATTATTTTAGATTTCACTGCTTAAACTTTAATCCAATTGTGACCTGGAGCCAAATCTCAGCCTGCTTTCTGATCCCCCAGCAGGATTACTATAAAGGCTGTATATTTAATAACTTGTGYTTGTGAAAGACCCAGAGCATGGATTAATTGATCACAGTTTAACATAAAAATGAGGTGCTGTTCATTAATTTTGCTGCTTCGTATTCAGTGGAAGGTTTTTACCTTGCTGTGGGCATTAAGACAAGCTCTCCTGCTCCCAGCACTCACAGCTGATGCAACAAAGTGAATGATCAGGTTTCTCCTTTTCTTCCTTCGAAAAAAGGATGCACCTTCTGCTGAGGCTTTGACACAAAACACTTCTCACCTGAATGTGTTTTGTCATGTGGATTTTGCAAAAGTGTTCTCACCATCGCTTCCATGAGAGCAGCATTTGCATAATGAGCAGAGTCCTGCCTGCATGCAGAGTCTGATCCCCCTCAGTCAGGGATTAAATATTAAATTACATAGAAGATTAAATGAGCCTGTCTTTATTCACTGGATGTTTTGGTTCCCTTATTAAATAAGGACCTTAATAAAGCAGGGAGACGTGGAAATTGCTGCTCCTGCAYTATCCCTTAAATCCAGCAGAGGGGTCTCTTTACCTACAAACAAATTAAGTTCCTCTYCCCCTCCTACCCCCAATTTAACGCATTTTTGTTTGATTGTCAACTGTGGTTTGGCTGCCGTCACAAAATCTCTATCTTTGGTGTGCTTTGAGATTTCTTCAGGGCGTTGAGGTTAAGGAGAGCGAGAACAGATCGCTCCTGTCAGTGAAACAGCCACAAAGAACATTTATTGATTTGAAGTATTTTATATTTAACTGTCTTCTCTATTCAGATTCTTTTTAGCAAGAATGTAACTGTACAGGAAAGAGGAAAAACTGGACTGAGTAGGGAGTTGCCAGGGGATTCGAAGTTTCCTGGATTACAGAAGCCCTATTTGACTCCATTATGTCCAAGTTTTTCACATAAATGATGAGCTCCTTGGGGAAAAGCATTCCTGCCAAAAGATGAGCAGTCTTATAAAAATTATATCCCTAACCTATTTCCTACTCTTTGCAGAACAGCTGCTTCAATTTCAGAGCTGCAAGTACATTGGATAGAACCACATTGCCTGTGAAGTGTTGCCCATTAAGTAGTAGATATGTGGGAGTTAAAAAATATGCTGTGAGATTTTGCTCTTTGACAAATAGGAAACTGCTTCGGTGATCGGTGCAAACTTTTTATGAGACAGCCTTAAAAACTCAGTTCTATTTATGCTCCAAGATACCTATTTATCAGTGTTTCTATTTTGTTAGAATAAAACTAGCAAAAAAGTGCATAAACTGCAGAAGATGCCCTCAATATWTGTAATGAACTGTCCTAGCTCTTCACTCACTCACAGGGAAGTTTGCAGTGACTCTTCATGTACTGTACTTGGGGTAATGCTAATTTTTGCATATATCCTTAAAAAAAAAAAAAAACCCAAACACCCCAACAAACCAACTCCCCACAGTCTATTTCTGTCCTGCTCTAAACCCAGTTTGTCTGGACATGAATTTGCCATTGCTGTCCTGGAGTGGAATAAGATGAAACTAAATCAGACAAAGCTGTTACACGTGAGTTGATCATCCAGATCACAGACTTTGTCCAATATTAGGAATCTCCTGGATTAATGGGGTTAGATGTTCTTGAACCATGTTCCTGCCTCAGGGTGTGCAACTTTAAGAGATTTCTGAAAGAGCTTTTAAAAGCTCTTCCAGTTCTGTACTTTCCCAAAGTTGCCATTAAACATCACTTTAAGCATCACTGTCAAGATGCTGTTAAACATCACTTAAAGCTCTTTGAAACATGAAACTTGGGCCACRTATTTTTACAGACTATTGATGAGGAATAAACATCTCATCCTTAATGTTGTTTGTGGCCACCACATTACTGTGCCTGTAACAGGGATTGAGTGCTTCTTCCTCGAGAAGTTTGTTCAAATTTACATGATTAAACACTCCACATACCCATTCTCTCTCCAGGCCTAAATGTAGACAATTAGAATGTATTTACTAGATATTCATATTTGATCAGTTGGTTGGGGAAATGCAGAATAACTCATTAGGCAGAATTTATTATTTAGTCTCCCTACCTGTGGTTTAGCCTGAGAGGGAGGTTTTGGAGCTTCACAACTTAATTATTCACCAAACTGGTTTTCATCTGACAAGGAGGGGGAGGCATCTGYTCCAGTCTTCTATATTATAGTGTTTCACATTCATTTTTCTTACTTCAGCTATCATTAATCATAGRAAAGTCTCCTGGGAAAAAGGTTGGCAGAGGGAATTGCAAAGTTTATGCTCTAAGAGCTGTAGGTACTATATTATCCTTGCAAGTCAATGTATAGAAACCAATAGATTTTCTCCCAGACAATTTGAGTGGTCAATGAGTTCAAGCAACCTGCTACAGTGATGGATAGTTTGGTGTGTTACAGAATTCCAGCTCATGCAATGAAGGTAATTTTCAGTCTCACCTCTAGCTTGCTTTGGGAAGGATTTAGGGAGCTCTGGGGGCAGAAGTAGTAGAGGCAAAGTTATGTGCAAATTGCAAATCTCACTCAGGCTTTTTAACTTTTTCTACAGTTGCTTCCCTTGTCAGTCCAGCTCTTTCCATAAACCTGGCCATTACAGGAAATGGAAAGAAGCAAAAATAAAGAGCTTTTTTGGCTGGAAAGAGCAAAATATTTGCTGCTTTAAAGGCAGAAACCTCTTTTTTGTGCCTGACAAGTGTTGTGCAGCAAGAGGACTGAGATTAGAGGGGTGGAGAGCTGTTGTTGCATCAGCATTGTTCTAACTCTGTCATCTGCTGCTTGTGATTTTCATTCAGAGAAGTCACAGTGTTGGTCACTTGAAGTTACGAGCAGATCAGAAATGTTCTTCTGAAGTTTTGTTACAGGTAACGTGTCAGTGAAAGACTCACTGATGTAACAGTATAAAAATAACATTTTAAAAAGCCAAGGAGTGACCTTTGCAGTGCAGGGGATGTCATAACAGTGCTGTTGATCCTTTGCTTCCAATTCCAGTGCTGTGTGGGAACAGGTTTAATGTGACCCACTTGAAGAGCTCCATAACTTGGAGCCAAAAGCCTTTGCAATTATCAGACCTTGCACTACTTCCCACTGCAGTTTGTATTTATAGGCAGCAGTTAAGGAAAAACAGGAACATATTGGAGAGTTTGGGTATCTAGACAAAACTTGGACCTGATTCTGCACTTCTTTGGTTTTCTTAGTCAAGCAAGTAGTTCTTTTGCACCAGAAAAGAAATTAGTTTGCAGAGCTGAAGGTCTGGGTTTAATCATTCTTTGAATAACATTTTGGAGGGGGTTTTGGGAACTGTTAGGGGTTTCTTAGCTGAATCCTGGGGATGAGGCTAAAATGAAGCAAGTAAACCAAAAGGCGTTGTGAATGACAATTTGCATTTAATGTGCAAAATAAACAGAAATAAAACACTGAAGTAATAAAGTGATGTTAAGGATTTGATGTGAACCTGCATGAAGCAAGGTAATTAAGTCAAGAAAAGGACATAAAACAGTTTGTAAAGAGATTGCAATTAAAGTGTCACTAGYGCTATTTCTTTGAACCTAGAATAATAAACAAGTATTAAATTTTAAATCCCAGTGGAGGTAAAAGTAAAGTTTATAGGTGACTGCCATATGTGCAAACTATTTAAAGGGCTTATGCTACTTCACAAATGGGCCCTTTTGGGGAATAAATAGAAAACATTTATTTGAAGAGGTAGGCTGTGTTACCTGGTTCTTTGGGTCTAAACAGAAGTTTAGATAGTATAAAGTCTGGAAGTTTTAATTGTTTCCTTTTGGACAACAGCTCCTTTGTTACAAGTTTCTACCTCTTTTTTTTTCTGCATAATTTGTGCAGTAGATGCAGAGGAAAGGTTTGTAAAATGAGGTTGATATGTATGCAAGCTCTGCCTCCTTCAGCTGATAGTGCTGAAACTTCCAACAAACCAGCAAAAATGCTCGAAGTGACCCAAACAGTGGTGGTGGAAGAGCAGGTGGAAGGACAGAGGAGCCTCTATTAATTCCAAGCTAATGATCTYATGTAATTACACAGATATAGTGATTGTCCCAGTTTGTAGCAAAATGTAAGGAATAGGAACTGTTTGATGTTATTTATTTGAACCCAAAGCTTTATCAGGTGATCAGACTTTGAAACCCCATAGAGAGCTGTGTTTTCAGCTGGAGTGGGCCAGGGTCAGTAGGGCTGCAGAGGAGAGAGCTGGGATTGTGGTGTAACCCARGAGATGCTGCTCTCCCACTGCAGCGTTCCACGTTGGTCCTAAGAGATCTCAGAGTCCTTTGGACTTGCTGCTGCATAGAAACTGTTGATAGAGACTGTTTCTGTGGCTGAGGAGCAGAATGAGCAGGGAGCACACATTTCTTTGATGGGGAGCTAAGGTGTGGAGGTAATGCAGCTAATCTTGGAGCTGCAGGAAGTAATTAACAGAGCCAGGGTCTAGATCAAATTCTGTTCTTCCTTTCTGATCATGAGGCTGACCTGATTGGTCATTTGAAGTTTGTGTTCTTGGTACAAGAAAAGAGTTTTAACATTTCTGACCTTTTGTTTGATGCCAAACTAACCAGTGATACAGTGCTAGTGCAACAATTTTCATGGTGTGATGAGAAAAAGAGCAAATGACAAACTGAATCACCCGTAAGCAATTTTCTCCTATTTCTAGCCAGGGAGTAAATTGACTCAGAAGTGAATGTTCATTCTGACAACATCTATGTGCATAATATTCCCAGCAGCCTTGGAGTCTAGCCAYTCTGTATGAAAAGCATTTAAACAACAACCTAGATTTTTAGAAGAAAATACTGACATCTTATCTAAAAGTCATTTTTTCTTTAATTGTATTYATTGATGACAAGACAAAGTGGCTCCAGTACATTCTCCAGTGTGGGTTGTTAGTCTTAAATTTTCTTTAAAGTTGATTTGCTGCATATTCAGTTTCTTTTTTTTTTGTAGGACCTTAGAAATCAACTRGAGAAATTACACGGTGAAATGACTGAAAAAGAAAAAGCAGTTGAACACCATTACAATATTCTTTTGAGTGAAAGCAATCAGAAGCTGCAGAGCCAAGAACTTGTTATCAGGCAGCTGACAGACAGTGTCAATCACAAGGATCTGCTGCTTGAGGTAGGTAGACTTACTTTGAAATGAAAAATGGAAAGTTATCATTTGATTTTGTGTGGGGAATTATTACAAAATCACGTTTGTATTTGGAGTTATTGTTGATTCTGATGATAATCCTTCACTTCTCATAATACTGTATTTGCAGAACAGGCCTATAATTATAGAGTGTGTGGCGTTCAACAGGATTTCTTGCTAGGGTTTTGTGAAGTGTGTGGACAGAGGGGGAAGAAAGCTTTGCTAATGCTTATGTGGGATTGTCACTGTTGTAAAAGCTCTGAAGTGCTCATGATTTTCAGTTTATTGTGCAGAAAGTGGAAGCAGAGCAATAGGTACAGACACTGAAATATTTTATCTTCTTTTCTGGGAGCCCCACATGACCTGTGTGTGAGAAGTTCCTCAATGGTAACAGACCCTGCTCAGTTTTTTTAGAGTAAAAAATGTTCTGATGGCATTCAGCCAACAGTGCAGAGTCAGAGTTGAGGTTGCTCTGTATCTGGAGACAAAAGTGCATGCCTTGACTTTATTTTTTAATACTGGAATGATTAGATAGCTGGGAAAGCTTCTGTGTWTCTTTTGGTTTTGCTTCTGGTACCTTAAATTGAGCTCTTTCTGCAAGGTGTGCAAATCACATGTTCCTGGTCATCCTTGGATATTCTGAATTCTGTTAATTTTTGTGTTTGGTGGTTTAAAATGAGAGTACATTTTGTAAAACTGTCTCTTTTCTTTTGTTAGAGAGTTAATGGAACAGTTAAAGAAAAGGATGCAGAACTGCAGGAGCTCCAGAATAAGTACAAGAACCTTCTAAGAGCTAATGAAGAACTCGAACTGAAAAATGAGGGCTTAGTAAAGGAGAAATGTGCTGCACAGTCTCAACAGTCAATTATCAAGATAGTCAGAGAGCTGGAGGTGAGTTTTGCATTACTGATCATTTGCAGATAAGTACTTTGGCTTCACACTGAGGAAAAATTTGACTTWGGCATCAAAACTATGGACTCAGATGTTGTAATTCACCAAGTAGTGTTCTCTGATGAGTTTATATGGCATCACTACACTCCCTGTAAGATGTTTTGCCTGCCATGAAGAGGGAGAATTTTTTGGTTGTTAGGGCAGACATAATTCACTGAGTGGGTGGATATCTGCATTTCTGGAGAGAGGAGAGTTTGTGTATTTTAGATAGATAAGGGGGAAGATTGCACAGAGCTGGTGACCATGGGAGATAAATGGAGTGTGAGGATAAATACAGGTAGGAGTGAAAATATGTCCAGGGCAAGAAGGAAACAGCTTTAAAGCAAAGAAGAAATTGTGCAGAAATATATATGTATACCAAAAAAGGGTGGGCAATATATGCCCATTTGATGCCATAAATTGAAAAGACTTGTACCTGAAGTCAAAGGTCAAAATTCAGAGTYTTAAAATGCAGTTAGTTCCTTCTCCCTTTGCCTCCCATTTCTAGCAAAAAGTGGTCAGGTACTGTTAAATTTTTGAATCACTCACTGTGTCCATCAGTGCATCATGGTGTACAGATTATTGAACAAATAAGCTGCTTTTGAAGGTACATTTCCTGTCTCATTTTGTGTTGTTTGCAGCCTGGTGTGTCAAGGTTTCTAAAAGCATCAGGCAAAGTCAAAATAATTAGACTGGTACCCAGTAATGGTGGAGAAAGCTTTTTCATTTCTTTAATAATACGTCTATCATTAATGAGACTTTCTCCAGGAAATTCAAAATAAAGGGAGCCAATGGTAAAAGAAACATAAGTACAGTGTCTTGGGTGACATTCTGAACACTCTGGTGTGAGATGARGAATGTGATGGGTGCTATAATTAACCGTGGTAGAGACAAGGACACGGGGAGTGCTGGTTAGTGATAAGCTCAGAGTAAAGGAGCTGCAGCCCAGGGCACCAGGGAGGGAATATCCCAGTGTRTGGGAATGTGCAGGCAGAGAAAATCGTCTGGGAAGGGCTGGGGAGAAATTCAAACTGCAGTGCATGCACGGAACTTCTGTCACAGAGGGAGCTGGGATGGAAGATCATGGGCAATTAATGGAAATCAAACAGTGCCTGCCCTGTGCAGCCCTGACTCGGTTGGGGTGGGTAACCAGGGGCAGGAGCAGGGGCAGGCAGTGCTCGGTAATCACCCAGAGCCTTCTCATCACAGCCCATTCTCTGCTGCTGCTGCACTCAGCCACYGAACAATAGCTAATCACAGCCCATTGTCCCCCGGCTCACCCTCAGTGTGCASATCTCCTACAAGGACCCACTCTGGCATGTTAATCGCCAGTTTTTGGACAGGGATTATCCAGAGCTCTGCTCTCATTGGCTGCTGGTACTCTTGGATGGCTTTGTGGTGCTGCACCAACTCTCAACAAACCCACAGCTGGGTCCTCCCCACCAGAGGGGACAGAAACCAGGCTCTTCAGCCTCACTCATCTTGAAAGTTGAAGAAATTGATTTGAGAGATGCAGAACTTTTCTCTCTTTCATCATATCTTTTTTCTTTATTTTAATGTAATGATACATTTTAAAGCAAATGACACTGAAAGCTCTGCTGGGTGCCTTGGCCATGCCAGGGAAGATAAATGACAGGTTCTAATTTTGGAATTTGGATTCTTGAGCTGCTGTCATGGCCTAGAGAGAGTGAGCAAGGGCATTGATAATTAGGGRAGTCAGGCAGCTTCTGACTGGTATCTCTGAGGTTTCAGAATTAGATGTGTTTTACAGCCACGGAATTCATAAGTTAGAAGAAATTACCAAATTCTAGTGATGGATGAATRGATGGATCAGTGAGGAGGTGTAGATTCTATCCTTCTCTCAGTCATTCATCCTTTAACCTTCAGAGATTTTGAAATRATCCTGAGGGTTGTTGGCAGCACGAGAACATTTGGTGAGGCAACCGGATATTCTTGTGACTTTGCCAATAAGTTATTTATTGGGGAGGTATAAACCTTTTACTTTCATTGCTTACAATCTAAGGAACCTTTAATGAAAATAAGTTATGTTTTCCACCACTGCTGCTTAGCAATAGTATTTCAGACTTAAATATAGACTTTAATGTATTAGATTGCCTCCTTTCATGGGAATATAAATCTTTCACTGCAATATGGTCCTGGATGTCTTGCAGCTATCTCCTCTAACACATTTTCCCTCACACCATGTGTCAAGAGGTTTAATGTTTCATTAACTCCCACAGCATTACAGTCTATTTAAGTTACAGAGCTGCCTTATGTTTTGTGTACCGTCGGGGACTTGATTGAAATAATTCACTCCTACGCGTTATTTAGAAATGACAGTAATAATGTACAAAAAAAAAGGGATGTTCATGCTGCATCTTCTCATCCTTATTATTCGTGAAACAGTCTGAAAAAATCAGGAATGCTTCCTCGTGATTTTGCTAACCTTTACCTAGCTAGTTGAATTTAGAATTTAATAATTTGTGTACAGTCTGTGACATTTGGAATTAAGAAACAGCTCATGTCTCCTGTTACGCAGAAATAGAGTTGGGAGGATTTCATGAGCTTTCTGAGATTTTGGTACAAATGGAGACCTCAATTAACACGTGAATCCTGAAAGGAGCAGGGAAGTGGAGCAGGGTTTGTGTGTGTGTGGCACTGCTTTGTTCGTGCAGCAGCCACAGACCCCGAGCCATGGGTGACATCCCTTCCCTCATTTGTGCTCTGTAGCTGCACRGTGCCATCGCTCTGCCAGGGCTTCAGAAAGAGCTTTAATTAGGATCCAGTTCTCTAGTGTCTTCAGTAATAATTGCAAGGCTTGCATCAGACATATGGAGGAGTTCACCAGAACTTTTAACAGACTGTGAGACAACTAAATTAAGTCAAAAGATTTATTTTTTGCCTGTTGCTTTCTACATCGTTGGTCAGTGTTTGTGATCAAACTTTTCCAACTTCAATTACAACCCATGCATTTTATGTTTAGTGACTGTTCTTGAGATTCCAGCACRTTTATAACACATCCTTAATCCAGCATACAAAATGTACTTTTTAATATTATTTTTTTGTGAGATTATTTTTTTAATGGCCTCTGGATCACCCACCTCCATCTGTTTGTTCTTCTTTGTGCTCAGTCAGCAGCTTTGCTGGGAGCTCCTGCTCTGCTCCTCTAGATGACAAACACCATGTGAAGCTCAGGATTTTGCACTTTAATACAGGATAGTATTGAGTGTATAAATTGCTCTAGAACCTGGAAATGCCTCTTAGAACAGAGCAGCCCTTAGATGGCAGCTGGGCACGTGTCCAAAGGCAAGGTCAGTTCTTCAGAGACTCTGGAGCATCAGTGCAGAAGCTGCAGCAGGACCTGCCAGGCAGGTTACCTTAACTGGAGTCATTTGATCACAGCTTGATTACACTTGCAAAATWTTATTTAACATATTTGCTGGCATACTGTGAAGTAAGAGTGTAAATAATTAAAAGTAAACACCGGTTGTCCTTGCTTTTGTACTGTTTACTTTGCAGAACACTGAATTTTTCAAATTAACAGTCTTTGCATCTTTAGTGGGAATTAACGAGATTCTGTTGTAGCTGAATTTTTTTTGGTTGCAATTTCCTCCTTAGGAATTGCAGTTGGAGTAATAACAGCTGCTTAAAACTCCTGGGTGTAGGTTTCTTCCTTGTTAATGATCTGTTCACTAATGATTTAGTATCTCTTAAGAGTTCCCTTAGCTGAGATTCCCCCTTAGCTGTGGCACCTTTTTTGTTCCTACTTTCATTTTTCAGTCAAAAAAGAAATTTGAGAGGACTAACAATTCTTTAACAGAAGCAGAATTTGTGCCTGTTATTAATATATCTAAATTTGCTATAATATTCCAGTTATTTTTGCTTTGGAGGTGACTGATATCTTAGATACTTTTATATAATAAGTGYAAGAAAATACTCCTTTAAATAGCTGCATTTTTTGTTTCCTGCTGAAAAAGTGACTGTGTGGTTGTTATGGAGTGAAAAAAGTCTAGGGAAATTAGTAGATCCTTACTGAGAATGTGCCATAAGAGTTTGTGTTTATTCCTATAATAACAATATCCTTTCTGTGAGCATGACTGCAGATAAACCATTTTCAGTTCTTCACACAAGTGAACCAGCAGCTTGTAGTGACCCAGCTGAGTGTGCAGAAAGCTGACTCATGGAGTGTCTGATAAGTTCATCCTTTATTTGGGGCTCAATATGATCCTTTTTGGTCAGAAATGGAACAGAATTTGCTGGAACTCCTCACCCCAAAAAAGCCAATTTTTATCCAGACCGCAGAGAGGACTTGTTCTAAAATGTGTGCTTGGAGCTTGGGTTGTCTGCTCTCCCTTCCTTCCCTTCCCCTCCTCTGGAACAGCTGCCTGCCAGGCTGTTCCTGGCTTGATGGAGCTTTGCAAGTGAGGATGCTTGGGTTGGGGTTGGGGGAAACTTCTGAGAAAATTGCTGAAGCACTGTTCAGATGTGTGAGCCTCCCATGGTAGGTAAATAGTGACACAGGCTTTGCCTCCTTCTGTAACAACTGGATTTAAGGACAGTGAGTGGTTTTCAGATCCAAGTTGGGCACTGGTGATCCTGYTCAGAAAATTGGGATTGCAGCCTCTTTCACAAATGCTTCAGTACWCAAGTACCCACATGGGTGTAGACATGAAAGTTAAAAATGATGTTGTAAGCTCAATGTGTTCTGSTTTTAATTTAGGAAAATAAAGAAGCTGAATATGAGAAGTTGATTCTTGCTCTAAGGAAAGAACAGAATATTTATTCTACGCTAGTGAAGACCTTCAAGGAGTCAGATAGGTAAGTGTTTCTGGTTTGGGGGATAATCTGAACTCAAAGGGTAAAAGTCAGAAGCTGTGAAAAAAATGTGCAGCTGTACTATAGATGAGTTGGTTCTGGCCAGTTGTTTATAAACTCACTGTAKTTAAAGGGAAATATTTATTTAAGTGAGTTTCTATTATCTAAATTAYTTAAATGTTTCTGAAAATATTTCTTTTTAGATTGGAGTCTCAAATGAGCCCTATTTCCATTTAGGTAGCACAGTAAGCAGCTGGATTTTCCATACTTAGGTCTTGTGTTTTGTGCATGAAGGAGTAAAATAAAATTGCAGCGAACTCTTGGGCACTGGACAATTTGCCATGGTTTGCTCCTAAAAGACAGATAATGCTTATCTTAAAAATGACACTGTGAGAATTCTGATGAGAATATAAACATGCAACATTTTGGAGAAGGTTAAATAAAACAGAATAATTGAAGTTTGCATAGTACACTCTCAGTGTAAAGCATTGAAAAGGGTGGCAGGAGCAAGTGGTTTTTAACCTTTTAAAATCAAAGAACACAACAATTTAGAAAGAAATCTGCAGCCTACTTTATATCTTGTTATTGCTTGGCAGTTGAGGAAGAGACATTATGATAAAATAAAGAGGATTCTTAGCCTGTGGGCAAATGAAATTTAAATGTTTTATAAAAAATTTACTGTCATAATTGCAAATCTCTTAATTAAGTATTTACAGCATTTGAGAGCCAGCTCTTGAAAGCAATGGCTTCTACCTGCCAGTTTGGAGGGAATATTTATTTCTATTTTGCAGTTGGTTTACAGCCCACTGTAGTTTGGAAAGCATGAAGAGAAGTAGCACTAGAGTAGATGAGATCTGTGTGTGAGTGGAGCACTCAGCAGCAATGCCAGCTTGTGCTTGGCCTCAGCTCAGAACCTGCTTTAGACACTAGAAAAAATACTAATTAAAAATAGTGATAGCAGTCAGATTAGGGAGATGATTTCTGATTTCATACAAAGAGTGTGAGCTGACTGACACCTGCTYTGTGGGCAGCAGTGGCAGCAAAGGATGTGGCTCTGAAACTGGCTTTTCTCAGAAATGCCTTTCAGATAAGAAAATTTACAACTGGGTATCATCATTGGGGTTCTGCAATAAGCTTCTGTAGGGTCTGGATCATTAATCCCATTTCCCTGTGTGGAATTATGGAATTGTGGAGCAGTCAGTGCCTGTTCTGTTCTTGCAGAGAGTGCACAATGAGCTGGGGTTGGAGCTGCTCTCATTCCTCCATCTCACAGTTTTGGGGGCTGAAATGTGTTGTAAACTTCATCAAGACCTGAATCCCAAACTTATAGGGAATGGGTAAACAAGCCCTGCAGATACACAGATGAGGAAGCTGGATTTAATTGCCATCAGCAGTGACATGGATTTTGGGCAAACATCTGTTTTCTTGCTGACATATCTTCTTTTAGGCATTATTTATTTTTAGCAACCTGGGTGATTATTGTTCAAAATGAGCTGCTGGATGTCAGGACCAAGACATTCCTTGTCTCTCCAAGTGGGAAATCAGCTCTTGTTTTTACGAAACTTTTCTCTCATGAAATGTGCTTAYCTGGCTTCTAGTCATATGTTGGTTTGGTTTTACTCTTAATTTTTTGCTGAGCATTTAAGAGAGCTCTCTCTTCAAAGAAGCTCTTGTATGAGGGAGAATTGGTTAAAGCAGGAATTTCTTGTGCAGGAACCCCTGACAACAGCACACTTGTCAGGAGACAGACTGAGAGGCTTTTCATACATGCAGCCTTTTAATTATTGTGCATCTGCAATACTCTGTTATTCTCATGCAAGTGTGATGTGTTCCTGTACRGTCTCCCATAAGATGGATTGAAATTTTTTTAAAGATCCCTGAATTTTCTGGCATTCAGTGCAGTGGCTTGGAAATTCWGCTGCAGCTTAATTTATCTTAAAACACTGAGTGAAGTAAATGTGAAAATAAATAATACAAAGAGCTCAGTAACACCCTRGTATTTATTTTTTATTAAATCAAATTTGGTTCATTTTATTACTRTWTCAGGTTGGTTTATTTTCAGCACTTAAAYCTTTTTACAGATTGATCAGAWCTGCCTTGGTGATGTAGTGGAGGRTGTGGGGAAGAGGGGCAGCTGACWCTGGRGCYTGAGGGGCAGTTGATGCTGAAGAGCTTCAGTGGCAAAGCTGCTCAAAGAATTAATTCACCCTGACAAATTATAAATTTTAATTTTGGACATTTATGCCCCTTTGCAGTAATCGAGACAATTTAGAACTCAAGAGGTCTTTTTACAGRCTATGGATAAATGAAGAAATAAAACAGTTAGTTGTATCTGGGYGCTGTTTTCAGTCAAACATGATTTTTTGATATTTTTGCTAAGTGCAGCTTTAGATTATCTGGTGTAGCTCTGTGGAGAGGGAACCAAGTTTCCATGGTCACCACATAATGGAATACACAAAGCCATCAGCATTATGTGATAATGATATTTTTCTGGCATACTTTTTASGAGTTAGTAATTTCCATTTTCCTTAAAAAGAGCTGCCCAGAAGGAGGCTGGTAGAACAGTTCTGWCATGGGGAAGCTGACTTAGGCAGTACAGACTAAAAAACCAGGAAAAGGCTGTGTATGTAAACATTTAATCTCCTCTTTCTATGCAGGGATTTGTTTGTGCTGATGGATCAAAATGATGAAAGTGTGGGATGAAACCCAGCCATGGGGAATGGGAAATGGGTCTTGGTGCAAGCCTGGGTGGAGAAAAAAACAGTGCATGCCAAAATGTTTTGAATTGAATCTCAAACATTTCTTTTTCCCCCTTTTTTTACCAGTATAAATAGCTTGCAAGTGGAACTGAACAATATTTTYATGTTGAGAAAACAACTGGAGGAAGATATTTTAGGTAACAGGAATCTCCAGAARATCTTACAAGATCAGATTAAGGACATGAAAAACCACCAAGGTTTGTATCCATACCCAGCCCAACCCTCCTCTTGCACAAAAGAAAAGTGGTTTTATTACAGTCAGTTTGCTGGGATGGAAAGGAAATATTTGAATGTAAAAAAGGTGTGAAAAGATTTCTTTTTTGGCTTTTTRTACTGAAGATGATTTGGGGGATTTGTAACAGAATGTTTCGGAGCAATCAGGGCACATAGAGAGRGACAGCTTCTCTCTTTCCATGCAGCAAATGTTTGAAATTCTATTCTATCATTTCATGCTGCCTGCAGCTTTGTACCCACTGAATTTACTGTTTTCCACAGAAGTCAGAGATTCCTGGCTTGGAATCAATCAGTGGCCATGGGATCACTTTCTGACCATGGGATGTAATTATTTCCCAGAGTTTTTGTCTCAGGCACTGGTAATCTCCTAACAGAAGAATTTCCAGAGAAAGGAAAAATAGCCAGAGGTTTTGTTACTTGGTAATTCAGAAAAAGTAGAGCTTTTAAATATAGCTTATCTTCAGGCTTTTTTACTGTGTGTCTTGGGAAGTGTTTTTAGTATATTCTTAGATATAGAAAAGAATAATGTAAGTGGGTATCATTAAATAGTTTACTGCATATGTACAAGATGTTTCTGTTTTATTCCATAGGGGATATATAAATAACAGTAAAGCCTGTTCACTTCCCCTTTCAACTTAGACTTTCAATTTTAGCATCACTTGACAGCTCTGATAAGTGGCAAAAGGTAAACTTCAGCTGTTTCAGAGCTTCCAACCTCAAAAGCCCAGAGATGATAAAAAACCAGGGAGGTCCACAGGGTCCTGTGGATACTCCAGGGCTGTCAGGAGCAGTTGTKTTGAGGGTGAGGCTTCAAAGATTGAAAAATTAGTAATGATTTGTGAGTTTTGGGTCCTTKCAGCAGCCAAGGGATCAGTGTCAGAGCTGGGAGCAGGATTTGATTGTCTCTTCTTTGTCCTAATTTAGTTATGCTTTCTCCCTATCTAATGAGATTTATTTATAGAATTGACTGTCATTTATATTGTAAATAAACAGGTGTTTATTGAAACATAAATAATTCCTGCAGTTATAGAGGCAATGAATAAGTAACTATTTTCAATCCAATTACTGCATTCTTTTGACCCAAAAGCAAAATAAATTCATTAACTTTGTCTAACCTGGCATTTTGCCTTGAGAACCTGAGTTCATGTTCATAAAACTATAGTTAAAGTAGAATAACTATTCATGCCTAACTTATCCTTSCTAAAAATTATTTCTAATTGTAATGCTAAATATGCAAATTATRATTCAGAATTACATTCCCAACTCGTGCTGATAACCACAGAAAATACAGCCACAGAAAATGCAGCRTGTCTGTGTGTCAGAAGCACAAAGAAATATGAGGACAAAATTTTTTCAATTAAACAGAAAGCTTATTTTGGGAATGAAACATTCTAACTGGCCTCCCACAGGCTTACTGGAAGGTTCTTACTCGAAAAGTCCTGTGCATTTTGTGCTGTGTTTTCCTGCAAATGGAGTTTCTGAAATAATGTCTGTCCTTGGCTATTTTGGCAGATGAAACACTATCTTTCTGTGGAGATCAAACATCTTATATGAGTATCTGTTTAGGAGAACAAGACCATTTAAGCCTTCAGATAGACCATCTGTCTCTGGAAGAACTTAAAAAGAAGGTATTGATCTTTTTTATTATTTACTGTTCCTAGTAGCTTAATTCTGCTTTGTTTATAGYTTCTGTGTCTCTCACAGAGACATTTATTTAGTACAGTTGGGTAGTTCTGAAGAGATTTGGAGTTCCCCTCTCTGTGGTTTGTGACCTACCTTTTATAAACCATTTAGACTTTGTTAYACCACGTGGGCTGCAGAATCAGCTGAAAGTTGAGTGATTTCCTGCCAGGGTTTTGTGGTTTTTGTGCACCTGGACTCCAGTTTTTGACTCAGTGCCATATTTCAGACATCATCAACATCAGCTCCAAAGAAAGGTTTTTGTGTTAAATATCCCACAATGTGTACTTCATGAGCCTTTATTAATCATGAAGATGCTGGTTTCTAGATTCTGTAGAACACACTCCATCCCAGGATTTGCAAATCTTTTGGTAAATAGGGCATGTTATAAAATAACCCTGAGGTGAGTTCTGTGTTCTACCTAAGGAGAACAGAAATTCACGGGGATAAAATGTGCAGACCAAACAATAAATCAGTCTTGGAGTTCAGAAACTTTGTTCTCTTTCTCCTGCTCCTGAGCAGTGACATCTGATCCATGCACCAGTTTATGACACGGAATAATTTTGAATATGGTTGATGGGGAGTGAACATAAGTGAAGTTTCCTGTTTCTCAGGGCCAGCTGAATTGTAGGCAGGTGCTCACACTCTGGAGGTGGGGTAATCTCAAGGAAGGAAGTTTGTCTTACTCTGAACAGGTGTCCCTAAAAAAACCCCAGATTGTGTCCCAGTGCCATTCTGGGGTTTCACCACTTWTATCTCTGAATATGTTCCTTTCAGTAGGCTCAGGGAGACTCATTAGCAAAAGGTATTTATAAATAATTTCTTACCGGAAAAAGGGTTCGTGTGACTGAAAGCTGACCTGGTTTTCCAAGTATTTTAATTAGTTTGCTAAAAAGATTTGGATTCTTCTCCAAACGTTGCCTTCTTGATACAGTTCAYGGCTTTGTGGCTGTGAGAGTTTTGAACCTGACTGTCCATTCAGATTCTGTGTCTGTGAAACTGCTCAGAATGAGAGTGGCTTATAAAGGGGGYTGGAGACAGAAGAACAGCTTGTTCCTAAATGCTGCTATTTCCCAGCAATGCTTTTTTCTGGCATTGAATATTTCTTCTCAAATCAACTGTTGGTGTGAGGTGCCCTCAGGTTTGTTCTTGCCACTGAGTTGTGAAACTTGTTACCTGAACTTAATAACTGACTGTGAACCAGTGTTACAAATTAAGTTCCTTGAGCACTAATTCACAAATCCAGAACCATATTGCCATACACAGAGAGATTAACTCAGGAGCAGATASAAACCCAGGCTTTCCAACTCTGCAGTTTGCATTTAGCTGGAGATTTATCCATCATTTGTTTTCCTATCACTTTGGATGATACCAGTTCTGCTTGTTCTTTCTTTGCTTATTTAGGTTTCTGACCTGCTCCTGATGGTCAAGGAACTGCAGACAATTAATCAAGAACTTAAGGCAAGACAGTCTGGATGTTGTACAAAGGATTCTCARGGGAAGGAAGCACTGAAGATAYTAAACCACAGAGAGGTAGGTTTTCTGTTTTAGCGAGTCTGACTCTCACATCTCATCTACCTTGTGGAGTCATTTACATCAGTGTAGGAGGAGTGCAAAGCCCTCGGGGCTGAGCTTTCTAATTCCTTATAATAACTTTTTAAATTAATGATGTAAACAGCTCTAACATGTTAGCATGACAGAGAACCAGCTCAATGCAAGTGTTCAGTGATGTGTCAAGTTGATTTTAAGGCAGCAGCATATTCATTTAAATATTAATTGGGTCTCTGATCTATTTGTACTGTCAATTGACAGGGAAGGAAATAGTTAATTTTGTGAAGAAAACAATATCTTAGAAAACATTTTAGTTATTGCTGAAAGTCTGTTTGCTATTGCAGAGTTATTCTCAGGCTGTCTGATTATTAAAGAGTTTAGTTCAGATCTCTGATGCATCTTCAAAATACAAGGGTTCAGTGTAGCCAAAAAAGAGGGAATAGCACTTCAGGTCACCTGAACACGTGGCTGTTTCTTCAAATAAAGCAGGGGGATGCATGAAGAAGGGGCCAGCACTGTGGTGGGTTGCTGAGAGGTGCTGAGAGCAACCCTTGCTGGGTGTTTCATCCATCTCCCCAATGCTGGGGCTATTTTCAGCTGTAGCCAAGGAGGGGCCTTGGCAAAACACTTCCCCTGAGCAGCATTTTGGGTGCTGGGACTCCACGAGTGTGACTTTGTGTGAGGTGAAGGTTGTTCAAGAGGCTCTGGTGACCCTGATGGGAAAATATCACTTGGAATGTGGCTGGCAGTGCTTGTCTTTATGTTCCTTTGTGGCTTTTGCTTTCAGTTCCATTGTTGGTGTGCAGAACGTATTGAATAGGAAGGAGAAAATAGAAAAGGAGTGATGATGGTGCTGGTATTTTGTGTCCTGAATTTCTGAGTTAAACTCAAAAGAATGAGATTAGGAATAGTTTGAATCAGTTACGTGCAGCACTGCCTGATTCAAAAACTGGGGCTGYGGAATTGATGATTTTTCTGCAGAACTCRGGAAAAAAAGGTCTGTCTTTTTCTGGATGTGCTGCAGGTGCACTGGGACAGTAATGAAATATTCCTGCTTTTTCAGTTTTAAGATGTAGTCATGCCACCTTTAATGGAAGTATTTTTTAAATTAAAAACAGTGGTTTTATTGAAACGGTGAATTTATGTGTCACTGATAGGTTTGGAAGAAGAGCTGGTGGACAATCCCTTTCCAAGTGCCTGCCTTCTCCATAATGAACATTTTTAGCAATTTTTATCATGTTCCTGCAGAGGGCTCTGCATCYCCATGGATGCCACAGAGAATTCCTRAGGAATTCCTGTCCTCTGCTGTGATTATCGTGACAGGATGCTCTGTGCTCCTGCTTGCCTCGACATGACAAGTACATACAGGGCTGCTCCCTGAAGAAGCTACAAAATTAGATGTGAAATGACAAAGAGTGAAGCTTTTAAATATAAATAAACCTCAACATTCTGGGAAAGGAAATAGGAAAGTTAAATATGGATTTTAAGCAGTGCCAGAATGACTGTAATACTCTGGAGCTCAGAAATTAAAGAATGTTTAGTTGGAAGTTTTTAGTTTAAAAGGTATCTTTTTATCAGGCTTGGCAATAAATGACAACCTGGATTTTGGKTTATGGGTGTGGCAACAGTGTGTTTTGCATATTAATAACCTCTGTCAAAACCTCCCTACATTCTATTATTCATGTTTTTTGAGCTAGAATTTGTTGGCAGGTAGTGCTGGGGTGACACTGACATCTGTGTTATCCGAGGAATTTGGACAGACATGGGAAGATGGATCCTCCTCAGCTTCTTGAAATGCTCCCATCCTGCTTTTCCTTCCCAAAGCAAATTTCCTTCACAAATCAGATGAATCTGYCTCTGCAGGGACTGACAGCCCCTTGTCCTCTGCTCCTTGGCTTCATGCTCGTGCTGGGAGGGAGAAGGAGGAGAGGAAAAGGTTGTTTTTGTGCTGTCCTCTGAACATCTGCTTTCTCAGAGAGAAGCAGCCTCGGTGATTCCAGCCTTCAAGGCTCGGGGGATCTTTGCAAACCAAGCATATCAGTGCTTCATTTAGGAAAAACATTCTCCTGCTTCTCAGTCTCCAAGAAAATGCTTTACAAAAGGCAGCTTATTCTTGGTAGACTTATTTTTCTGTCTTTAAGACACTTATTTTAATACTTTTTTGCATATTAGGTTATATTCCTTGGAGCACAGGACATTGCAGCCTCCCAGACCACGGGACCAGGCTCAGCCTGCAGTGAATTGTTGTCACAGTGTTTTTATAACCTATTGTTTTTATGAAATAATTTCATTAAAGAATCCTCACTTATTAAACCAAATAATGTCCTAGGAAAAGCAGATATTAAAAATATTGRCCCATAAAAGGTACTTGCATTGGATGGATAAGTTACATGTGCAAATAAGTTTATTTTTATTACACAAATGCTGCGTTTGTCCTGAACTTACATATGGAATATTCAACCTAAATAGGTTTTTTTTTAAATAATAGTTAATTTTATTGGACTTTTGGCATCCCATGATTACTACGAAAAGATTTTTTTATAATGCATGTCCTTGTTATATACCACAGAATCCTCTGTGTCTTTTTCCGTGTTTCAAATTGTCTTTACTCTGTGTTGTCCTAGAAAACCAAGTCTGAGTGAAAATACCAAGAGAACCCAAATATGACTTGCAAGTCAGTTCTCCATATAGAATTCTAATTGTAAAAGGCAAATATATTAATACTCTCCACTATCCAGTTTCTGCCTTTTAAAATTCATACCTAAAACCATTGGAGTTGCTTATACTGCAAGGGGTTGGGAGATAAAAGGGGTTTTCTCAATAATTTAATAAACATATATGTATGCATACATTCAGTGCATACTCAATTAAAAAATCAAACCCCACACATCCATGAATTCCCAGTGTTCTGAGGAAGCAGGAATAACACCAAAGGGATCCTGGTCCAGCTCTCAGTGATGCTCCAGTGATCAAATCCCTGCTGATGTCAGGRACTTGGGTGCTGCTCCCTAAAAAGCTGAGTCTTCCTCCTCCTCTTTGCTCAGGCAATACCAGTGATGGGAGACGGGTTGGATTCTGTGGAAAACAGGGAATAAAAGATGATTTGGCACCATTTGCTGYAAATGGGCAAATTTAGGCATAGGCACAGCAGATTGTAACCTTCAGTGGCACAGTAAATCTTGCCAGGGTACAGCAAGCCACATGTGCTTAGTTTTAAAAGCATCTATTTCTTGAATGCTGGAGAAGAGCCTAAACTGTGTAGCAAATGAAAATAAATTCTGGAAATTGGAAAATAAAATAGGCAGAATGAGGACACTACTGAGGATACAGAGCTCCATTGCCACAAGCAGTTAAACGAGTTTATTTTTATATATTCTATAAATTCTGAGGAGAAAGGGTTAAATAAAAATGAAGGAATAGAAGATAAAGTTTCACTTTATTTGATATGAGTCATTCCTGGGGTTTATATTAATTTGCTTTGATCTTGTTGAAGAAATCTAATTCAGTGTTTGTTACTTTGTATTACAGGCTTTTTTTATTTTTCTTTTAAGACATGYCACTGACTTATTTATGCATGTTTCATATCACAGTATTTTTTTTTTGTGCTACATTTTCACATCATTCCATACTTTGTGTAGTGTCTTGAAACAACAGGGGAGCCTGTGATGCAGCCTGAAGATGGTGACAATGACAGGAAGATGCAGAACAGTCAGTTTTGTGAGAGGGTCAGTCAGGTAGGATCTGCTCAGGGTACATTCTATTACAGTGCTCTCTTCTCTGCATGCCTGTAAAATTTCTTATTTTCTTACAACAAAAACTCTCTTGCAAACATGCTTTTCTTGTTATCTGACTTTGCTTTCAAAGTCATGTTTCATTGTTATCCTAAAGAGCTTCTGGAAGCTTTTTCCTGTATTTTTCTGCTGGTTTTGCAATCAAGATTGCTGTCATTGTGGACCTTGTTTTCTGTTCTTTGAGGRCTCACAGTCACGCTGAATGGAGATGACAAAGAGTCCCTTGAAATTTGGTTTCTTTACATCCACACAGGCTGATCTCCTGCCTCCATTTCAGTCAGGCCTGCAGTTCAAATTGTATGAAATTCACCTGCAGTTTTGATTGAGGAAAAAGTCCTGTAGATCCTTCTTTATGGTTGAAATGTTTGATATCTTGGTAAATTGTAAATTGTATTTTCATACGCACAGGATTCTGCTGTCCTCTTATTCTAATCAATGTGACATGAGGCATCATGGAATCCTAAAATAATTCAGGTTGCAAATTGGTTTGTAATGGTGAAGAATGATGACATTCTGCTCTATGAAATCTGTAATTTCTGTGTTTTTCTGTTTACCAGGTATGCCTTCAGGTATCTTTGGATTTTCCCTGTGAGGTGGATAAGCAGGTGAGTGATGCATTGTAAAGACTCTCTTGGCTCCCACTGCTGATGGGAATTGTACCCAAATGGGCCCAAAAATGAATTTTCATGTGGTTAATACAGATTTTGATTGTTTTAATGGGGGTTGAATGACTGCAGAGATCTCAGAAATTCCCTAGGACACATYCATGATGTTTTATACAGGAAGTTGGCAGCTTGTAGATTCTTCCAGATTTCATCCTGTCCCAGCCATCAGGGCTTGAATCTGGAGRTCCCAGGACAGAATCTGTACTGTAAATACAGATGATTCAAAGCTGAGCTAATAAAAATGTTAGCTGCAGTCTGCAGGCAACATTCCAGAAGTTTCATACCTCTTCTTAGATAAAGACCTTCAGGGAAATCTTCTTACTCCTTGCTAAACAACTGATGGCTATGAATTAATCATATGAAATAGATGTTAATTAGTTTTTCTATTAATAAATAGTCAGCGAAATGTCTGTGGATGCTTCTTAGTGCAGATAAAGAGCATCAGGAATTACAGAACCTGATTACAGAAAGATTACAGCCCTGAATTTAATAGAACATTACATACCTGTGTAATAAGACAATGTTTGCAATTTTTTAACAGATAACTCCATCAGGCTATTCAGAGAGTTTCTGCAAAGACAGACATTATAGGAGTCCAATTAAGCCTCAATTTGAGCACGATACAACTGACAAACACTTAGGCAGAACAGGAATGAGTGAACATGAAACAGAAGAGAACTTGCTCACATCTCTTCTAAGAGAAAATAGAACATCTGTGCTGGAATCTACGTGAGTATGAGGGATATGCACTGCTTTTGACAGTATTTCGCTTTGAGAAGAGAATAAAGTAATTTTGCTAAAGTGAATTTAGATAATGGCTTTGTCTAATTTACCTGAGAGATTGGCAAGGCATCTTCAGARCCATTTTAGTCTATCATGCAATTAAGTAATTAGGAAACATACTATCAGTAGAAATCCTTAAGAAAAACCCATTGCAAGAAAGAAATTCTCCAAAGTTTCTGATCCACTGATCTTTACTGCAGAGAYTGATTGGTTCCGGGATGGGATCTAGGAGAGTTAGAGGGCTCAGTTGATAACAGCTGGTATTTTTATTTAAAAAAACAAAATATCTGAGAGCACAGGCCAGTGAAAGGTGGTGCAGTGGAGGGGACAACACTCTAGTGCTGTAAAAAATAGTGTGTAAAAGAATCTAAGGAGGAATTAGAGTTRCAGTGACTTTTTACAGGGAGAATTTGGAACGGATGGTACTGTACACTGAGTGCCCTTTGCCATTTCAGTGTATTCTGTATTTGCACATTACTATTTAAAACTCTCCCAACAGGCACAAATGGCCTTAGTTGTCTYAGCAGTACTTAGTGGTGGATGAGGAGCTATTCTTCCCTTGGAAACGAGGAGAGAACATTGTTTATTTGTTATCTTTACTTAAAAATTGGCTAATGAGTGATTCTAGCTCCATCATCTTCACCACTCTAGTGTGTAATATTTCCTGTGCTGGAGTAGAAATGASCAGACTGATGGGTGATGAGGCTGTGCTTTGCATAACTGAACTCTCACTAAAGCCATTGGGTGTCAGAGGAAGCCATCAAAAACCTAGTTAGCTTCTACCATTTYAAATGCTAAACTGTACAAATGCAGTTGTTTAAAACTCTGGTTTGCATGTTTAATGGCACAAACAGCTCTCCATTGGACACCTGAAATTGTCTGTAGAACTTCAGAGCTTGCTTATGCTTTAAATTCCATTTATTTGGCTTCAGTTTCCTTTAAAACATTGCTTTCCAAACTGCTGTCCATGAACCTCTCGTTATCCATGGGGCAGTTTGGTGCTCTGTAATGAGCTTTTTTTCCAGGCTTTTTGGCTGATTTCTCAGTTTTCATCTTCCCCGTTCCATTAGAAATACATGGAGRGATAGATTTTCACAAAAACTCAACATCAGGGCCAGGAGCTGTGCTTTGATGGTTCTTGTGGGTCCCTTCCAACTTGGGATAATTTATGTTTATATGGTCTAGAGTCTKGTGTGGTTTTGGTATAAATTAATTTTTAAGGTAGAGAGTAAACKTTTTTGAGAAATCCATTCATATTTCATATATTTCTGTGTTAAATAGGAGAAAAGCCATGATGAGGCAATTTATGATATAATTCATGTTGTGAAAAGCTTCCAAAAACTCTGTTTGTTAGCGAGTAATTCATTAGTGAGTAAAACAGAACCTCCTGGGAATTTCAAATATGTCACAACACAGCAGAAGGGTTTCTTGGAAGGTATTTTTGTTTGCTTAAATAAAAATCTAAATTCATGCCTTTTCTCTCTTCTTTCCTGAGTGTAGCAGACAAGAACAAATGAAAATTGTAAATGAACTGTTAGATCATCTGAACACGACAGAGGAAGAATGTTCAAGTGAAGATATGGAGAAAAAGGATGAAAAAGATCTTAGGCAAATGATTATTCAACTAAGAGCTGAACTCAAACATTTCAAGCAGGTCACTAAATTCTTAAAGCAGCGAGTAGAATTGAAATCAACTTTTGATGGGGAAGAGAAGCTTTATCCAGATGCAGTGCCACAGATTAATAAGGAGATTCAGTTGTTGAAAGTGGAATTGAAAGATGCAGCTACACAAACAATGACTTTAGAGAGTAATGTCATGAGATTCAAACATGAAGGCAAGAAAGGAGCCTCAGAAGAAAAGTCAAAATATTCAAGATTAAATGCAGAAGCAGAACATCAGCAAGAAAATGTGTATAAGAAGGGTGAACAGCTTGAAAGCCTTTCTTTTACTAGAACAAATGAAGTAAGTTTATTCTCKTTTTTGTACTTAGGGAATACATGTATAAAAGGAAAAAATATGTTTTATTTCTAATATTAAATCTTGCTTTTGTGTGATTTTTAATATTAGGAAAAGAGATGTAAGCCAAATATATTTTAGATAATTGTTCTTAATGTTCAGAGCTTTTCATCTCCTACTTCAGCGTGCTTTAGAACGTTAATTAATTGAATTTCAATCCTCCCTGGGACCATGTACTCGTAAATATTACAGCTTTTGGAAAAAGAGAGTCTGTGTTTCTTGTTCATAACGTGCAGAACCAGAGCAGTCTAAACTGTTGAAGTCTAAATGGCAAAAGTGTTCTAGAAAATTCCAGATTAGCATGACATCTGGGAGCAGGCTGGGGAGGGGTCAGTGGGAGACTTCCACAAACTCAAATCTTAATTTTAGGCTTTTATTGACATCTCCTCGTTGTGTTTTGGCTCCTGAGGAGTGTGGTCAGGAGGTCCCAGTGCAGTTTGTGGTGTTGGTTTGTGACTGGAGTGTGTTCTGTGGGTGCAGACAAGGGTGTGCTCTGCCAGGTGAGGCTGGAACCCTTCTGTCTGCAGGCAGCCTGTGATCCCAAACAAAGAGGTGGGAAAACAGTGTCTGCTAAAGAGTTCCTGTGTATTGTTTCAGCTGCAGTGATAGAAGTGAAGTTGAAAACTCTTTGAAGATCTCAACTCCTGTAGAGCAGACAAAGGGGAGTGCTGCTTTTGATTTTGTGTGCTGCTAATAGGGGATGTTGTAGCACCTTCTGCAAAGAGTGGTTTCCATAACTGTAGTGATCAAGAGATTGCTGAGAGGCAGCAATTAGGAACAGTTCATTTGTATTCTGGCTTGTTCCTGGTGGATTCATTTTTGTGAGGGAAGGGGCTTGGAAACCAAGGGCTGTTGGTAAAGGCTTTGTTCTGGGCATGAAGTGACAGGGTGAGGGGGAATGGTTTAGGATGAAGGAGGGTGTGTCCAGGTGGGATATTAAGAGAAAGTTCTTCCCTGKGAGGGTGGGSAGGCCCTGGCACAGGGTGCCCAGAGAAGCTGTGGCTGCCCCTGGMTCCCTGGMAGTGTCCAAGGMCAGGCTGGACAGGGYTTGGAGCAYCCTGAAATAGTGRAAGGTCTCCTTGGCAGGGGGCTGGAACTAACTGARCCTTAAGGTMCATTCCAACCCAAACCATTCTGYGATACTTTCTGCACTTTTCTTTTGTTTTTCCAAGTTCCTGTTTTCCCTGAGTTCCAGTTCACTGTTCTTATTCACCATTTTCCAGATTCCTCTCTGGTTTAATCAGTGGCAACCTCCACACAGCACTTGAATCAGTYGCTTTGAAAGCTTTCTTGTTTGGACTAATGCACTGTATCTTTAGCTTCRGAATGGCTTTTATAAATAATTTGATGTAGCCAGCTGAAGTGGCCTTTGGGTAATCTGGGTGATAAATGTGTCTGTGCCACAGCCCTGAGACAGCTGGAAATGGTTTGATGTTATTAATGCAGTTTAGTTAGCAGGAAGTTCTGGATTTATTTTGCAGCCTCTGAAGGATACTGTACTGCTGTATGTACAAAAGGAATTGAGGATGGCATTAGGAAAATGGAACTTGCTTTTTATGATTTTAAATTGTGTAAAGACTGTAATTGCTGAGAGGCGAATGTGGAAAGGTATTTCAGAATACATTGGATGGTGAAAGAAATTAGGGGACTTAACAGCACTGGTGGAGCAAATGAACAGCAAAATTATAAACTAAATCTATCTGAACATGCCATTATTGGTTTTTATTATTATTACACACAATTCCATAACTCTCATCAACACATGGCATGCTTTTATCCTTTTGGAGACAGCACTGTTTTATGCTGTGTGGYTTAAACAAGGAACATTTGTTTTATGCAGAGTCTTCCAAAGGTGAGAGGCTAAAATGTAGAAAATGTAAGTTGCCCCAACTCCAGTGAGGGAGAATGTCTGTTACAGCAGGAAATGGGGATCCTCCAGAAATAATTTAGAGTGGATGGGTGAAGAAGCTGATTTTGTTCTTAAATAATTTCTGTGGTAGAATGAATGTCCTCTGTGGCTGTTGCCAAGTTATGCTGATTTTCTCAAATCTGTGGAAGTAGGGCCTGTTGGGTGAAGACAAAAGAAAGAAAGGAAAAAAAKAGAGGAGGATCCTCAACTTAAAAAAAACCAAAAAGTTTTAAGGCAAACAGTTGCTGGGCTGGCAGACATTTATGATATAAATGACAGTGGGAAGWAACAGAAAGGTCAGTAAGGGTGAGAAACTCTTTTCCTAAGGCATCCACAAATCCAGAGCTAATTAATACATCTGCTGGTTAAAAGCCTTTGGTAGCCACTGCTGGATTTGCTTCAGGAGCTGGAAGGTTGTGGCTGCATGAACAGCTGGGACTTACAGAAAATTGTAAGTGGAGTGAGTTTTTTGTATGTCTGAATGTTTATTTCTCATGTAGCCGAGGGTATTAGAATTTCATTTTCAAAACTAACCTTAAAGCTGATTTTACAAGAAAATTTTGATTTTTTTTCATGGAATGTTTGCTTGTACTTCTTACATTTGACTGTTGCATGTGACCTACTAACTCCCCATTTTCTTCCATGCCTTTTTCAGGCTGTATCTGCTTTCCTGCCTAAGAAATCACGTCTGCCTGTGCCCTTAAGATCCTGCAGACCATTAGGAAATGTGCCTTTGAGCTCCTGGGTGCAGAAAYCAGCACCACAGCCTCCTTCCAGGGCACCTTGTGAAAGTCTGAGAGCCTGTGAAGTACAAACSCAACCATTTCAGGCACAGCCTAATGGGGAGTTGTTGGATGAGTCTGGAGCTGAAAACCTTCCAGAGGAGCCTTCCCAGGGAAGCACAGCAGGGAGAGGTAAATAAAGAACCAATCTGGTGACTCGTGGCACTGCCTGGAACAGTGGCAGCTTCTCTTGCAGCAGAAAGTGAACCCAGATCATCTTTGTATATCTGCAATGCTGCTTAATCTTAGGAGTTTCTCGAGTAGATCTTGAAAAAACATCATTTCTTTTTCTGTTTTCCACTAAAATATAAAGCAGCTTTTTRTGGAACAGAAAGTGCTGTGTACACGTGGCTGATCAGTCTGTAATAAATGGCTGATCACAGGRTGCTCACATGTGCACACATATAAATCAATGTTTAGGTAAATGAAAAATGTCCTTAATAAGATGCCGAGTTTAATGAAAGCTGTAATGGAGACAAGAGAGTATAAAAATCCTGGTTTTGTTTATGCTGGATAATTAAGCTTTTCCAATATTCCACTGCTCAGTCAAGTCATCCGTGTCTGTTTCCACTGTGCCTGGGTTAATTTAAACTCGGTTGTTGATGAAGTATTKGGATCAGCAAAGTATGACAAATTGTAAGACAGAGAGCAGTGGGTATTAGATAAAGATTTGGGGTGGTAAAAAAATAAAAATGCACTTAGCAGTTAGATTAAAAACTGAGTGGAGGTGTGAAGGATACGTGAGGGAGAGTAAATATAAAAATAAGACTCAATCAAGTGGTGGGTGAGCTGCTGTCAGACACAGAGGTTGCAGAGACTTCTTAATAATAACATGTTGTGGTAAGGGACAGATATGGTACAATTTATTGTAAATACTTGAGGTGATGGGACTGGAACAATTAATTCTGGTAGGTGCAAAATCCAGGGAGAATCCTGAGAAGGGCAGTACTTCTGAATTGGAGCCTGGAATGAATCAGAAGCTGCAGTCCTGTGATTTCCTTCCCACTCGGATTTCTTTCCCTTGGAAAGCTGCACTTGATGGTTCTGAGACTTGCTGCAGTGATTGCAGGGGATTGGTTTATGATCAATGCTCAGATTGGAGAAACTTTTAAGCCTGTTCTCTAAATTAAAAGATTTAAAAATTCACTGTAGWTTGATTTACTGTTACATTGCAAAGRGCACCTACAAATGTTTATCTTCATTTGTTAGTGGGAGCCTTTGCAATTAATTCTTAGTAGTTACCCKTATAAATAGGTCAAGTATTTAAAGATACTCATCAATAAAAATTTTCCCGTTCCAAATTATCAGAGAACCAGGTTTGTGTTTGTAAGGTATGGTTTTTTTTATTTTTTCTTTTTTGATATTGTGATTTAGTTGGTTGGGTGTGGTTTGATTTTTGAGCTATCCCCACTTAGTTTTTTGTCAGTCTCTTACTGATTTCTGTTTTACCTTTCCTCACTCTTGTCCAGTTAACTCATTGCTCAACCTGGATAATACTGAGACCCAGRTGGAGTTGCAAGGTGTTGATGCAGGTACAGGGGACAAGAATGAACACGTGATGGACAAAAATCAGCAAAACTATCAAGGTAGAGCATTTCTGTGGTACAATATTAAAAAAAAAGGAAATTTTAAAACTTTAGTTTCTTCTGAATTGTGCAAAATKGTAAATTGTGCAGGTAATCATCTGCCTTGATGTTATTTGTGGGTTTTAAATCTCATTTTCTTAGCTAGTATGGATTAATTGCACCAGGAATCCAAGTTGGTCTTTCAGGTTTTTGCTTTCAGAAGGGCTGCAGGGATTTATGAGTCTGGTTTCCAGTAAAAATAATGAGTTGTATGCCTGACTCTGATCTCTGTTGCTAATGTCCTCACTTCTGAACTCCTCTCTGAATTAAATGTTCGTTACTTACTGCTTCTGCATCTAGTTCTGAACTGTTGGAATGAAGCAACTGAATGATAGAATTTTGCTTATCTGAATTATTTGAAGTCATTCAAGTAGGCTGAAACCTAATGGAATCGTTTAATGAAAATGTAAATAGGCTTAGTGCTGTGTGTTCCATGTTTCTGCCTCATCCATTAGTCTTTTTTGGGAGGGCCTGAATAACCTGAATGCCCTGTAGAGTACAGAAATGATGGCCAATTCTGTAATCTTTGGTGTGCAAGGTCCTGCTCCTTGTGGCCTTTGGGGGTGTGGATGTGCAGAGAGAGCTCATTAATTCTCTTTTAATTAAAGGGCACCATTCATTAAAAACCAGAGCCAGTGCTCTGATCTGAAATATTTCTTCCTCAAGATCTGTTTTTATTTTCTCTGTATTATCTGGAATGATGCATGGAGTCAGGATTTCAGAGTTTGAGAGCTCACCWGGTGTTTGGGTTTTTTACCATCTACAGCAGAAGCTGATGAATGAAGTGCTGCATTCCTTTTTTTGTGTCCTCTGGAATTCAGAGCTGGGCATTTTTTTGGAAGCATTTCCTTCCTGTGGTTCTGGCACCATTGGAATGCACACAAAATGAGTGCAGTGAACAACCTCTGGCCTTGATCTCCAATCAGAAAATGGTTTGGGTTGGAAGGGACCTTAAAGCTCATCCCTTCCCATCCCTACCATGGCCAGGGACACCTCCCACTGTCCCAGGGTGCTCCAAGTCCAACCTGGCCTTGAACATTTCAGAGATGAGGCAGCCACAGCTTTTCTTGGCCATGTTGGTGTCCCAAAATCACAGCTTCACTTTATTCCAGCTTTTAGGTAATATTTATTTTTATTCTCTTGTTCTTGGGCTTCCATACAGAGCTGCTCCCCTCTGAGATTCTGTACTGATTTACAGCTTGAACCTGGGCATTCAAATTCTCCATGGAAACCAATCTGAAAGTATTACAGCCTCTGAAAGATCAATGAATTGGCTCCCAAAAGGGAAGTTCTAATTCGTAGTGATCTTTTGCAGAACTAATAGAAGGGGAAAATTTAGTTTACTGGTAACTAGAAAATAATCATTTTGCTACCTACTTAAACATACAGCCCCCAACATATACAGAACTATAAACATGGATTATATGTAGGAATATATGRCTTTTATTGGGCTGGATCTGAGGTGATTGCATTACCTATGAATGGTAAGTCACCTGAGGGATGTGATCTGCATGTCAAATATGTGCCAGTAAAACCTTTAACACCAAACACTTCCATGGGGTTTGTTTAGAACACCTTTTAAAACGGAGTTATTATAACCTTCTTTTCACATTTGACTATTTGGTTGATAATCTTTTTTAAATTCCACTGACTTTATGCTCCAATTGGTTTTGTATTGATTTTTTGAAGTGAGGAGAAGAAGAAGATTTAATTAGAAGCTTTAGGAAGTACCATGTAAAGTCAGAGTCTCCTCTGCCTCATGTTTGAGGTTGTCATCTTTGTGGCTGGAAAGGTCTGGGCTTGGTCAGTGTCTGATTCAAAACAGCAAATGGCAAAAGGAATTTTCACTCATTTGGGAAGAGAAAGTGGGTATATTTTGAGTATTGTTTATTTGAAAGCTAATGAAGGCTGTGAAATACTTGATATGCAAATTGAATTAATGGGCAAATCACAGAAAGAGGTCAAAAGTCCCAAAATAAGAATGTATAGCTTGTAATTACCTGCATTTTTATATATGCTAAAATGCTATTATAGAATTAAATKAATTCATTCTAGTGCTGTTAAGAATGCCAGATAAAGAAATATTAATATTCACACACAAGCCTCTTGCTTTTCAGAAATGCAAAATCATCATAGCATTAGCAATGGGAATATCCCGAGTTCAGTGAAAGAGGTGGATGAAGAGTTTT